TATCAACTCTGTTTTTAGCCTCACTGTAGTCTGTAGCTCTGACTGCTTCTCTGTGCTCCACGTTCACGTGTGCGCGCCTGTGCAAGACCAGTGAAAGCATGAGCTTTGCTCACCCGTGTTTACATCACGTGACATGTGCACCGCAGGGAGGGACAACAGTAGCCACAGTAGCTAAAAGATAATTTGCACTACGGTCTTTTAGCAAAGGACAGCCCAACATGTCTGAAGACTTTGAAATTGAGGAGGAACAGCATTTCTTTGTTGAGCCGTATTTGTTTGAGCCCGAGTATACGGACAGAACTCAGGCTACTGGACGAAGCAGCCGCCACAGCTCATGAGCCTAACCCTCAGTCAGCCGCAGAATACCGGAGTCGAGCACTGGAAACCTGGTGGTGTAGTTGTTTCAAATGTAAAGCAGTGCCAACGGGTGAGGAAAGTCTTTGCTGCTCAGACTGGGAATTGGTGATGCCTGCACTTGAGAATCTGGACATCAGTACTGACGAGACTGCTGCTCTTCAGAGACCGTGCATCACCGATCACCCTGAGTGCGCACACGTGAACGCGGAGCACAGACAAGCAGTCAGAGCTACAGGCTACAGTGAGGCTAAAAACAGAGTTCATATGACGTTTTTCCAAACAACTCTTTATGTCGCGGCTGCAGCACACTTGGATCACTACAGATGAGCAGTATGGAGATACTTTGTGGATTCAATTTTGTGTTCTTGGACGTTAGTCTGGGGTGCCGTATGCCATTAGGTGTGCTGCCCGCTCCCCCCGCCGATCTCCGCAAGGGATGTGAGGACTCTAAAACTTCACCAGGGCCTCCATCGGCATATGGGTGAGTAGATAATGGCTGAATTTTCATTTTTGGGTGCACTATCCCTTTAAGAGGGGTCCCCAAACTGTTTCAGCCTGCGCTGCTCTGTACAAAATGGAACCAAATGGACCCTTACGGGTTAATTTGGTTCTTATACCTTATCATCAATCATTTATCTGGCTTCGGGTCGGTCCCCATCCTCCCCAGACCTCATGTTGAGAATAACCAGTTTTCTTACTTTTCTATGTTAACTTACTTGTTGCAGCATTGTCATTTGACGACGTCACGCTGCTGCTGGGGGGCTCTGAACATATCTGTAAGTTTATGACATTTGGCCGCCTCCTCCTCAATAGCCCTTTTTTTTTTTATCTCTCTCCCGTTCAGCTCCACCTTTCCTCTTTTTGCGGTCCATTGTAATGGCACTGCTGAGCTGCAGAGCTCCTACTGCACAGTCTGCACACACAGGCACACGTACACATACACACCCTCTGCTCCACCTGACACTCCACAACCAAGCTGCTTTCAGTTTACAGACGCGCTGATTTTGGGGCGGGCGCGGGCAGAAAGCAAAACAAACTAATTATGTCTTGAATCTACAAAAATTATTATTTTTTTGACCAATCGTTGCGACAAATGCTGACAAGCACCTATCATTTCTGACAGTGGGCGGGCTCTCTGCCAGCGGGCACGGCCACCTGCACTGCAGAGCACACCTTTAAAAAAAAAAAAGAAAAAAATCAATTTTATTATCGGCTTGCTACTCCCTCACTAGAAGGGGGCCCTGTTATAGCTCAACAAAGTTATGACTGTTTGCACAAAATGGTGGAACGAGCTCCCTGTTGACATTGGGACAACAGAAACTCTACATATATTCTGTCACAGACAGAATACAATGTATTCAAAATATAAATAAGTATATGAAATGTTTTTTCAGGTTAAATATAATTTTGATTCACTTTGGTAATTCTTTTGAATGAATAATTTATTTTCACTTTTCACTTCCATATATTTTAACATTTGAGGTCTTATTTTTTTCAGTTGCATGTTTTATCTTTTCAGATTCATATCTTATTTTTTACAGTTTCAAATCTTATTTTTTCAGTTTCAGATCTTTTTTTCACTTTCAGATCTTTTTTTTTCAGTTTCAAATCTGTTTTTTGAGTTTCAGACTTTTGACCCTGATGTGGCATGGGGGGCGTGGCATCAACTGAGAGGGGTGTGGAATCATGAGTGACAGTGCCTTCAGGGAATGTAGGAACTAAAAAAATTCTGACTCAACACTTACATACACCATATTCATGTGACTGGCAGTGTAAAAATTGATGCCAGTGACAAACTTCCATTTAGAAATCTATTTTAGACAGTACTGAGCACCAATTGCGGTATAAGAGCAATAAATTATGCCAGATTTTGCAGATCAACAGCCACATTTTAAGTGCTGATATGTCCGATTTCCACATAGCACTGTGCACGCAGTGTAGTGTCCATTTTGCTTGCGATGATGGCATCCAGCCGGTGGGGTCAATCTGCTGGAGCCCATACATCCAGCACACAGGTGAGAAATGTTAACTTAGCTTTGGGAAATCATAACAAGTATTAAACAATGTGGATAGTATGTATAAATAAACTGTGGTAAACTTTCCTCCATTTAACCAGTGCTGTGATATTCCACCTTGCCACTCGGTGAAACTCCACTGGATGACATAATTTATTTAATTCAGCAGATTTTCACTGACTTGGGCTTGCGCATTTTCATATTGCTGGCCACTGCGGACACAGAGTATAGCTGCAGTCAAGAGACAGACCCGCCCCTCTTTCTATCTCAAACTTAGACTCAGGCAGTGCTGATCGAATATATATCAAGATTATTTTACTGTATTGCCCATTTCCAGCCTACAGTATTTTTAGAAACATATTTTAATACAGTGTTAAGATGTAATAGTGAGAGTTAATGAACAGGAAGTAGGTGCCATACTGTTTCCTGCACAGTGTGGGCGGCTGTGGCTCAGAGGTAGAGCCGGTTGTCCACCAATCGAAAGACCAGCGGTTCGATCCCGGGCTCCTCCAGGCTGCATGTCGAAGTATCCTTGAGCAAGATACTGAACCCCAAATTGCTCCCGATGGCTGTTCCATCGGTGTGTGAGTGTGTTAAAACTGAGTAGCAGGTGGCACCTTGTATGGTAGCCTCGGCCACCAGTGTGTGAATGGGTGAATGTGACTCGTAGTGTAAAAAGCACTTTGAGTGGTCACGAGATGACTAGAAAGGCGCTATACAAATGCAGGTCCATTACCACGGTAAAAACAGAGGCTGAAAAACTGAGATCAAACTGTAAAATTGAGCGGCGCTGGTTCTGTAACTGAGTTGCCTATTTCTCACCTCAAATGTTTTTAGAAACAGTTTTAGCTTACTGTTTAACCGTAATACAAGATTGTTTCTTGCCAGCCGGCTGCCATTGTTTCAAATGGACACGTTTGCATTACATCACCCACCAGCACAAGTGTTTATTGGTCTGGTGTGGCACAGTGCATACTGGTAGTTGCAAAAGTTTTTTCGAAAGTGTGTTTATCAGAACTGAATTAAACTTGGTCTGTCAATTCAGAAGTTGCTACAGGATGTATCCACTGATCTCAATCAGGATTGCTGAAAGAAAACTAGAGTTATGCTCTATGTCCTTATAAGTTCCACCCCTTGCAAAGAGGTTTGATAGGTGGCCACCATGTTTTTTTGACTGATCTTGCTCAGTTATAGAGGGATGGTATATCTCAGTCCCACAAAGCTGCAAACTAAGTTTTATACTGATAGACTCAAAATCCAAAAAAGTCTATTTATATAGTTTTTCACATTATGCAATCCTCTAGCAAGAGGCTAGAGGCTTGTGTTTGTAATCCAGCAGGAATCAGAGGAAGGAGCAACGTTGTTCCCCTTAATAGAATAGTTGACATACATTAAATCTAGCATATCTTTTTTTGTTTTGGGCACTCAAAGTTCAATTCAATTTTATTTATCAATATCACAAATAACTTAAAGACAAGGTTTGAAAAACTACAGGGGCCTGTATTATGAGGCAAGATTCGTTAGCTAGCCAGCTATCTTTAGATTTAAAGCAACATTTTGCAAGACCTGATATTTTTGTGATTTTGCACCCCTACACTTTAAGTGCGGTACACCACTGTCATAAGTTCAAATTGTGCCTGCAGGGTTGCAAACTTTTTATACCAGGGGTCGGCAACCATGGGCATGCTGTAACTCAACTAATGGCACACTAGCAATAGCCTGCAGAAGAGTTTTTTTTGACATGTTTCAGTGCACGGTTTACCACACATTCTTTTATTTGTGGCAGCCCTTCACAATAACAAAATCTGCTGCTATTGATTTTCTAATTTTGGAGCTGGACCATTCATTAGATGTGCTGTTGGAATATACAAAGCCTACAGTTCGGCTATTCATTGTAAACGTACTCTGGACACAGATGGAACAGCAGAATGCCAGGCGCAGGGAGAGTGAAACTTAACTACCCGCTTCAGCATCTGCTCCTCTCATCCATCGATCCGATCAGCTCTGATTGAATCGACTGTTCAGTCATTCACTCCATGACTCAAACTCCACAAACTGCTGGTGAGGGGGAAAAAAAAGAGCTCATGAAGAGTTTCACGCAGCATTCAGGGACCCACAAAAAGCTCCTAATTCAGAGAGGTGACACAAAATGATACATACACACACACTCAAACACACAAACAAAAAAAAAACAAAACGAAACAAACAAAAAATAAAAGGAAAGTTTGCAACTTAGTATTGCACTTGATGAGAGCAATGGATGGATGGACAATGATGGATGTGAATGACATAACATGTTTGGCAGTAATTTAACTGTAAGGGAGGAGCTCTGCTGCCTAAATCCAATGCCTCAAACAACAAAAGGTGAGAACATAGCCAAAGTTTGAATGTGCATTTTGAGGAGCAAGGGATTGACATTATTTTGACATGGCACACTGATTAACAAGGAAATTTAAAATGGCACTTCATGTTAAAAAAGTTGCCGACCCCTGGTTTATACAGTCCTGATGTAAACTGTAGCGATCTGTCTAATGGCTAATGGAAAAACAACATACCATTACAGTTGATGTGTGAGTTAGGTTTTAGTGTCCATGCAGATCATTTCCTCTCTCTCTCTCTCATTTTCAGGCCCCTGGGTCCGGCAAGTGTTGAGCACATAAAACTGGATAGAATAACTGCATCAGCACCATTTGGGCACTGCACCCCTGTCCATGTAGCTGGTCAGCCTTAGAGTGCCATGGCCACGGGAACCCAGGGCCACCGTGACCACATCCTGGAGAAAGCCAAGATTGCCCCACCCACAGGGAGGCGCAGAAGAGCAGAGGGGAAGCCGAAAAAGAATTTCCCTTGCCAGGAGTGTCAGAAAACTTTCAACAGTCTGGAGAAGTTGAAGGTGCACTCGTACTCTCACACAGGAGAAAGACCCTACTGCTGCTCACATCCCGACTGCACCAAGGCTTTTGTCTCCAAATACAAGCTGCTACGGTACAGACAAGCAGCAGCACATAACAGGCTGCATCATGTTGCTTTTCTCTTTACACCTCACTAACATAGTGCTCAGTAGTAATCAGAATGATGTGTTTATGAATACTAGCTCTCAGGTCTTGTGTTTATGTGTAATGTAAAGCATGCCTACTTAAACATGATTGCAACAATTCTGAGTGCTCATAGAATGTGTCTGTGTTCCAAGGCATATGGCAACTCACTCACCAGAAAAAATCCACAAGTGTTCATACTGTGAGAAAATGTTCCACCGCAAGGATCACTTAAAGAATCACCTACACACTCATGACCCATACAAGGAGGCATTCACCTGTCAGGAGTGTGGCAAGAGCTACAACACCAAGCTTGGCTTCAAACGCCACCTTGCCCTCCACGCTGCCAACAGTGGAGACCTCACCTGCCAAGTGTGCCTGCAGCCATTCCCCAGCACTGGGGTTCTTCTGGAACACCTCAAAACACATGCTGGCAAGTCCTCTGGCGGAACCAAAGAGAAAAAGCATCGCTGCGAGCATTGTGAGCGGCGATTTTACACCCGTAAAGATGTGCGACGACATATGGTGGTTCATACCGGACGGAAGGACTTCCTTTGTCAGTACTGTGCCCAGCGCTTTGGTAGGAAGGACCACCTGACACGTCACATGAAAAAGAGCCATGCTCGGGAGCTGCTGAGGGTAAAAACTGAGCCAGCTGATTTGCTGGAGCCCGTTGTCTACAACTTAGCGCCTGGGGGCATCAAGGGCGAGCTCCCGGCAATGTTGACACCAAGGCTGCATCAGCTCAACATGTGCACAGGGCCTGTCCTGGACACAGAGCCTTTTCCAACTCCCACAAATCCCTTTTCTTTTAAGTACCCACTGGGCTCCAACTTTACCTCATACACCATCTCCTCACAGGAGCGAGAGCAGAATCTAAAGGGAGAACTGGAGACCTACCTGATGGAGCTACAGAGCAGCATGCCCTCCTCATCCTCTGCAGCCCAAGAACCACAACTCTCCTCCTCAAAACTTGAGTTGGAGCCTCAAGTGGGCTTGGTGGAGGAAGCAAGCGAGGGGGTGTCCATGTCCAAAATGTCCTCACCGATGGCAGCAGCCACCACAGGTGACTCTTTGGCCTCTTCCTCCTCTCTGATGGACTTCTCACAGCTTTTCAATTTCCTGCCACTCAATGGGCCCCCGTACAACCACGCAGGGGGCAGCGGGGTAGAGGGTGTCACCTATCCACCGAGTGAAGAGCCCACAACTCTCGTCCACCTGCCTTCCCAGCCTCCCGAAGGCCCAGAGGCCTCAGAGAGTCCACTTCAAAGGCTCCCCTCCTCCTTCATATCCAACCCATCAACCACACTGCCCCGCTTCCACCAAGCTTTTCAGTGATCCAGTATGTACTGCGCTTAGCACACATGCACTCTAACACCAAAATTCTGACACACGTGTTGAGCTACACAGCCTCCCCAGCAAGAACCAAAACAACATGCTAGTAAAAGTTTTAAAGATATTAGCACTTCTGGCCATTTAATATGATGACATGAGCAACACACACACACACACACACACACACACACACACACACACACACACACACACATATACACATACACAGTTGGCTTCATCAGCTGTGCTACTTTCAGGATGTATTCTTTTCATCTTTTTATTGATGAGTTGCCAAATCTTCACCACGACTTCTCCCTAATGACATGTTCACATAATACCAATAAATGATCCTCTTGTGTTGTGTGGATATGCAGATACAATATCTAAACTCTAGTTTCTTGCCATTTGCAAGTTGTATAACCTAACATAATCGGTTGCAAATACCAAGAGAATTTACTGTTTCAAAGACCTGCAAGTTTCAATATCCATAAACATTTGGAATCGTAGTGTAGGCTTGTAAAATTCAGCCGTGGACAGTGCTCATAAATGTCAATACAGCTCAAGTTCTCAGTTTTGGTGCAGCACTGCTCTGTGCACTGCATCACAGACAAAAACACATCACATACACATTAATGGAGCAAAAACTCCTCACAATAATGTGGACATGAATTAGTCTTTTTGGAAGTTTGAAATTGTTTAAATAGATGAATGCTAATAGTAATTTCATTGCAGTGACATTGACTTAACCCTGCTTGTGTTTTTGTCTGTAACATTGCTGTAATGTATGCGCATAACAGCTGCATTAGGCAGTTCAGTGATGTCACCTTGTCAGCAGCAGCAGACCTAATGTTCACTCCCCTGGATTACACAACCAGACTTCAAGTCTCCATAAGTTTATTTCCCATACATGGTGAAATTATAGGACTTAGGACTTCCTGCAAATTTAGGGAAAAGCGATAAAAACATTTCAAACATGCTATAGGAATTAAATAAAGTATATGTGAAATAGGCAAAAACATGCAAAAACATCAATCTGGTCCTTATGATAAATCTATAAAGCTGAAGTTCATTCACATAGTTATAGACACGGAGCTGAGTAGTAACTACTGAGCAACTGTATTACAGTTCATTTTGGTAGTTTGTTGATTTTCTAGTCAAAATGTATGTTATTCTCCAGCTGTGGGGATGTTAAATGAAAACTGAATGTGTTTTGGAGTTTCTTAGTTAACCCCTAATCCCAAACCAAAGTCAACCAAACACATTACTGATGTTAAGGTAGCATCAGTGTATCTTAACATAGAGACTCAATTGAGACCATTCACCAATTCCATTCACACAGCATCCTCAGTGGTAGAGTTAAGTTCAGCCATGTATCTGGATTAACAGGCACCAGTTTCCACGTAGAAAACTAAACTGTGACACACCAACACACAGCCATTTACTGTTTATGGGCCTCACCCAGTCAGCTAGCTGAAATGATCCATGTAAAACACCCCAGTGGAGTTCTCTTTACTACAGGCTCAGTGTGCACTTTGCTGATGGTTTTGAACATGGCTGCTGAAATGTCCCACTCTTTCCTTGCTAGTGTCATTGTGCCTTCTTTATCAGAGTTATAAAAAAGTATTATACGAAACGTCAAACTTCTAAGAAGTGTAGTTAAATCATCTTGCTTGAAACTGCTGACTGACCGAATTTTTTTTCCATTGTGGATCATATGCAAAGATCTAGAATGCTGATTTTACATCTGCAAGACATTAACTTTTAAGTTTGTATATATGCTAGTACCGTTGTATTTTATTTATCATAAAAGGTCACTGCAAGGGTGGTATGCAAAAGTGAACCATTAAAATTGGGAATTATTGGTATGGATATGAGAGCTGAATCTAACACCTGGGCCTCTAGTTTCCCAGCGCAGCGCAGCGCAGCGCAGGGTGGTGCAGGGTGGCGAACCCTGCGCAGAGCTAGTTTCGAGCAGCGCAACCCGAGGCACGCTCAGTTTGGTAGTTTGGCAGACTGAGGTGCGCTGAGATGGGTGTGGCGGTGCAGCAGGGGGAGATGTCGACAGATCCAGCTTGGCGCAGTGACAGTTTCATGCCAAAAGGCTTCGCCGAAGGTGCGCTAAAAGCTCGCCAGCTGAAACCAGGTCTACTGTCAGCGCAGGCGGAGCGCAGCCGGTGTAGGGGAAGTTTGGCTGACCGGCGGACAGTGTGCACACATCACCAAAACCTCACAGACAGGTTACCAGCAATACGCAATAAATGCAAACGCAATAAATTTCCACAAAAAACACTATTCAATGCAATTATCTGCAATCAGCACATAAATGTATCTCTATATCGACTGTCCCGTCACATCTGATGTCAGATCAAAGGGGATTGTCACTGTTTGGCACGTTTCGCACCCGTTATGGAAACCCAACCTGATTTGATTAACACACCTGCAAACTAATGAGTTCACATCACTCTCAGCCCACCACAAACAACCACAGCATCAGATAGGGAGTATATATTCAGCATCTGTCATTTTAGAAAAGTCAAAAGAAAAGAAACAGAGAGAGACTGTGAGAGAGAAAGAGAGAGCGCACGTGCACGAGAGAAACGCAACATTGATTTACAATTGTGGTGACCTTCTCCCAGGCTACCTTTGCATCATCAGCCCTTGGAGGTCTGCTCGCAGTTCTGTATATGCGGACACTGCGAGCTTGGACCTCCTGGACCAAAACATCAGTTTCCTCCATGGCGAATTGAGTAAACTCTCATTACGCCTTCGCATGGCGCATTTAAGGGCTAGGAGGGGGGCTCATTTGATTGGTGTGATGTGAATCGGATGTGTAAAACCCACTCCATGCCTTCTCTCCTCCCTCTTTCCGACTTGCGCAGGTAGGAGGGATGGAGGTGGGAAAGAGGAGTAGCTGCGCCAGTGCGCACAGTGTGCCAAACTTGCAAAATCCACCTGGCCACACCCAGTTGGCGAAGCGCAGGTGCACTGCGCCTCCGCCTCGCCCGGTCTGCAAAACTAGAGGCCTTGTTCTTTAAAAAAAAAAGCAAAAATCTCCATAGCTTAATTCATATTCTCACCAGACCCCTTTGGACTGACTTTAAAAAATAACAACCTCTGCCTAGTATTTCACAAATAATAAAGCATATATTCAACTATTCAAATATATCTTAAAGTCCCAGTCAAAAGTCTGGACTCGCTTCAAATCTTAGCTCCATGTTAAGTTATCTTGACAGTGTGCTTTTGTCTGCTAACACATAGCCCATAGAATTTTAGAATACATATCATCAAACATCACTACACTAAAGAGTTAAAAAAAAATTGTTTTGTTTTTTGAGATGGCTGGTAAACACACCTCTCCACCTCTCAAATTAACAACAGAAAATGCAGTGGAAAAACCAAGAAGCTGTCTATGGACTACTTGATGGAGAGTACTTTATTACTAAATCCCAAAAATATAAAAAATATTTAGAAGATATTTGAGCTAATACACTAAAATAAGATGTTTATCTGAGAGTAATCTGGAACCAAAGTACACTGTTCACAATGCTAAACGAAATGGCTACAAGACATTTAGGCCTCTAGTTTCCTGGCGCGGCGCAGGGTGGCGAACCCCGCGCAGAGCTAGCTTTGTGTAGTGCAACCCGAGGCGCGCTCAGTTTGGTACTTTGGCAGACTGAGGTGCGCTGAGATGGGTGTGGCGGCGCAGCAGGGGGAGGTGTCGACAGATCTAGCTTGGCGCAGTGACAATTTCATGCCAAAAGGCTTCGCCGAAGGTGCGCTAAAAGCTTGCCAGCTGAAATCAGGTCTACTGTCAGCGCAGGGGGAGTGCAGCCGGTGTAGTGGGAGTTTGGCTGACCGGTGGACAGTGCGCACACGTCACCAAAACCTCACAGGCAGGTCTCCAGAATGTCAGGCACATTAACGATGCAATAAATACCCACAAAAACCACTATTCAATGCAACTATCTGCAATCAGCACATAAATATATCTCTATATTGACTGTCCCGTCACATCTGATGTCAGATCAAAGGGGATTGGCACCGTTTGGCATGTTTGGCACGTGTAATGGAAACCCAACACACAGCTGCAAACTAATGAGTTCACATCACTCTCAGTCAACCACAAACAGCCACAGCATCAGATAGGGAGTATATATTCAGCATCTGTCATCTTAGAAAAGTCAAAAGAAAAGAAACAGAGTGAGACTGCGAGAGAGAAAGAGAGAGCGCGCGCGCGCAAGAGAGAAACACAACATAGATTTACAATTGTGGTGACCTCCTCCCAGGCTACCTTTGCATCATCAGCCCGTGGAGGTCTGCTCGCAGTTCCGTATATTCGGACACTGCGAGCTTGGACCTCCCGGACCAAAACATCAGTTTCCTCCTGGGAGAAGTTTGGCCGTCTGACGCTGCTGCTCTCTTCTGCCATGGCGAATTGAGTAAACTCTAATTACGCCTTTGCGCGGCGCATTTAAGGGCAAGGAGAGGGGCTCATTTGATTGGTGTGATGTGAATCAGCTGTGTAAAACCCACTCCAAGCCTTCTCTCCTCCCTCTTTCCGACTTGCGCAGGTAGGAGGGATGGAGATAGGAAAGAGGAGTAGCTGCGCTAGCGCGCACGGTATGCCAAACTTGCAAAATCCACCTGGCCACAACCAGTTGGCGAAGCGCAGGTGCACTGCGCCTCCACCTCGCCCGGTCTGCAAAACTAGAGGCCTTAGTCACTTCTGTCAGTCTGCTTTTTGATTTCTTATTTCCATGAAGTAGAAATTACAAAATAATATTTTTTTAAATTCCAAATGCATAATAATTCCCATTCCCGAGTAGAAGTATAAAATATGTAGTATATGTGTGAATATGTATTCATGTTGGACAATATAGAACTCCTCATAGTCCATGAAGTGAATAAAACATTTTGTAATACTCCAAATATTGCTACTATGTAGTAATTTAGCCAAACTATTCAGAATCTTTTAAGAAAATCTTTTTATGGGTGACTGTGCCACAC